TGCCCGCGCCCTGACGGGCCCTCGCCCCCCGCCAGCGCCCGCTGCCCCCCGACTTCGTGGAGGCCCTGAGGGCGGTGGTCGGGGGCCCCAACGTCTCCACGGCCATGGCAGTGCGCGAGCAGCACGGCCACGACGAGTCCATGCATGCGTGGGTCCCAGGGCTGGGACCCCCAGGGGGCAGGGTCTGGGGAGGGGAAGGGTCCTGGGGAGGGGAAGGGAGGTGGGGAAGGGCAGGGCCACGGGCAAGGGAAAGGATGTGGGGAAGGGCAGGGTCTGGGCAGGGGAAGGGAGGTGGGGAAGGGCAGGGTCTGGGGAGGGCAACGGCCGTGGGAAAGGGAAGGGAGGTGGGGAAGGGCAGGGTCCGGGGAGAGGAAAGGCCTGGGTTGGGGAAGGGCCGTGGGCAGGGAAAAAAAGGGTCCTGGTTCGGGGAAGGGCCGTGGGGAAGAGAAGGGTCCGGGGAGCAGGAGGGTCTGAGGAGAGGAAGGGCCACGGGGCTGGGGAAGGGTCTGGGTTGGGGAAGGGCCATGGGGACGGGAGGGGGCATAGGGAGGGGAAGGGTCTGGGCAGGGAAAGGGCCTGCGGGGGGGAAGGGACACGGGAGGGCGGAAGAGGCTGGGGAGGGGAAGGGTCTCGGGGACGGCGAGGTCCGTGGGGCAGCGGTGCCGCCCTGTGCCCTCAGCTGCGCCCCGCCGGACGCCGTGGTGTGGCCCCAGGCGGTGGGGCAGGTGCAGGAGCTGGCGGCGCTCTGCTACCGCTGCCGCGTGCCCATGGTGCCCTTCGGCACCGGCACCGGCCTCGAGGGCGGCGTCAATGCCGTGCAGGTACAGGCCCCCCCCGGCACCCCCTGCCCGGCTCCTGCCCGCGGGCTCTCGGCGGCCGGCCGTGCCCAGCCACACCGGTGCCCCCGTGCCAGGGCGGCGTCTGCTTCGACCTGAGCCGCATGGACGCCATCGCGGAGCTGAGCCTCGAGGACTTCTCGGTGACGGTGGAGCCCGGCGTCACCCGCAAGGCCCTCAACAGCCACCTGCGTGGCACCGGGCTCTGGTTCCCCGTCGGTACCGTGGGCACCAGCGAGCGAGCAAGCAGGGGGGCCCCGGGGCTGGGGGTGGTGGCACCGGAGGTGTGGGGGGACACCTGTGGGGCTGGGCATGCTGGGAGCACTGGGTGTGCCCATGGGGCCAAGGGTGCCGTAGTCCCAGGGGGGTAGCAGGGCTGGTCATGGGGCTGGGGTGCTATGCCTGTGGTCCCATGCGGGCTGTGGCTGTCATCATCCCAGGCCTACTGGGGATGCCCATGTGTGTGCCGTGATCCCAGGTGATGCTGGAGAGCCCATGGGGCTGAGGTCCCTGGGGTGCTGGGGCTCCTGGGGTCCCCATGGTCCCAGAGGTGCCAGGCTCCTCATGGGACTGGCCATGCTGTTGTCCCAGAGGTGCTGGCGGTCCCCACTGAGGTGCTGTTGTCCCAGGGCTGTCAATGGGAGAGTGGGTGCCATGGTCCCAGGGGTACTGGGGTCTCCATAGTCCCAGGGGTGCTGGGGTCCCCGTGGTCCCAGGGGCGCACTGGGGCTGCCACGGGTCTGGGTTCCCAGGGTGCCGGCTGGGCACGGTGTGGGGTCCCAAGGGGACATCCCGGGGCCCCGTCCCCAATCCAGCTGCCCATCCCATACCCATCCCCTACCCGTCCCCTGCCCACAGACCCCGGGGCAGATGCCTCGCTGTGTGGCATGGCAGCCACAGGTGCCTCAGGCACCAATGCGGTGCGCTACGGCACCATGCGGCCCAACGTGCTCAACCTGCGTGTGGTGCTGCCGGACGGGCGCCTGCTCCACACCGCCGGCCCCGGGCGCCAGGCCAGGTGGGCACCGGAGGGGCTGGGCTGTGCCAGGTGGGGGGGCCATGTGGGTGCCCACTCACTGCCCCCTTGCAGGAAGCGGGCGGCCGGCTACGATTTGACCTCGCTCTTCGTGGGCTCTGAGGGCACCCTGGGCTTCCTGACACAGGCCACCCTGCGCCTGCACCCCCTGCCCGAGGCCACCGCCACCACCACCGCCACTTTCCCCAGCGTGCGGGCGGCAGTGTCCTGCACCGTCCAGGTGCTGCAGGCCGCTGTGCCCGTGGCTCGCATTGGTGGGTGCCAGGGGCTGGCAGTGGGGCCAGGGTGCTGGGGGTTGTCGTTGGGGCTCAGCACCACCTCCTCCCACCCAGAGTTCCTGGACGAGGTGATGGTGGGTGCCTGCAGCCGCTTCAGCGGGCTGGAGCTGCCGGTGGCGGCCACACTCCTCCTGGAGCTGCACGGCTCCCAGCATGGCCTGGCCGAGCAGCAGCGGCAGGCGGGTAGGGATGTCACCAGCAACCAGCACAGGGACGGGCTGACCAATGTTGGGAACAGCGTGGCTGGGGGAGATGTGGTGGGCACCCGGGGGTGAGGGATGCGTACCCAGGGACAGGGGTGTCCTGGGGTGAAGGACAGGTGCCCAAGAATGGAATCTGGGGGACCTGGAGGGTCACCAGGGTGAGGAATGGGCGCCCAGAGCTGAGGGCTGGGGTACCAGTGTGTCACGAAGGCAAGGGATGGGTGCCTACGGACAGGGGGACCAGGGGTGTCCCAGGGTGAGGGACAGTGCTGGGGGGGCCATGGTGTGGCTCTGGGGTGTGTGCTGGGTGCCCAGGGACAGGGGACCAGGGGTGTCCTGGGATGAGGGATGGGTGCCCAGGGCCATTGACTGGGGGGCCTGTGGGTCACTAGGGCATGAGGGACAGGTGCCCAGAGCTGAGGAAAGAGGGTCCGGCGGTCTTGGGGATGAGAACGGGTGCCCAGGACCAGGGATGGGGAGAGCAGGGATGGGTGCTCAGGATGGGGACTGGGGGTCCCAGGGCGAGGGCTGGGTGCCCGGGGCTGCTGCGGGTCCTGGCCCGGCCCCCTCCCAGGGTTCCTGGCTGCCGGCAGAGGAGATCGTGCGGCTGAACGGTGGCTCCAGCCTTGCCTGGGCGGAAGAGCCGGAGGAGCGTGGGCGGCTCTGGGCCATGCGCCACAGTGCCTGGTATGCTGCCCTGGCCCTGCGGCCTGGCTGCCAGGTGAGGGACGGGGAGCAGGATGGGGATGATGGCGGCAGCACCCCATGGAGCTGCGGGTGCCACGGCTCTGCCCTGCCTGGCCCAGGGCTACTCCACGGATGTCTGCGTGCCCATCTCCCGCCTGCCCAACGTGGTGGTGGAGACCAAGCGGGACCTGCAGGACTCCGGCCTTACCGGTCAGTGGGGCCGCAGCCCCCTTGGGCAGGGGTGGTGGTTAGGGGGCTGCCGTCCTCCACACCGCACCCCGCCTGACCCACAGCTCTGTAGGCCCCATGGTGGGACACGTGGGTGACGGCAACTTCCACTGCCTCCTCATCTTCAACGCCCAGGACCCAGCTGAAGCCCAGCGCGTCCATGCCTTCGCCCAGCGCCTGGGCAGGTGGGGACAGGGACACCCTGGGTGGGATGGGGATGGATGAGGGGGAAAGCCCCATGCCATCCCCTGACCCCGCCTTGTCCCACAGGCGGGCCCTAGCAGCAGGGGGCACCTGCACCGGGGAGCACGGTGTGGGCCTGGGCAAGCGGGCACTGCTGCTGGAGGAGCTGGGCCAGGAGGGGCTGGACACCCTGCGCCGCATCAAGGCTGCACTGGACCCCCACAACCTCATGAACCCTGGCAAGGTGCTCTGAGGGGGGGGCACCGACACCAAGCCAGTGGGGGGGCAGGAGCCCCCAGAGTCATTGCTGGGTTGCCCTGCACTGCCACCCCTCATGTTCCCCCAAATCCCTCCATCCCCACTTCTGTGGGTCGGGGACCCCCAAGCCCCAAATAAACCCCTTTGCACCAGCAGCCTCCATGCGCCATGATGTCTTTTGGGGGGATAGGACACCCCAGCCCCTCCCCAGGGGTCCCTCTCCCAAGCAGTGCACACGCAGACACCCACAAGGAAGGGGGAGTGGGGGATCCCAGTTTAGCCACATCCCCAGAGCTGTGGTGCCGGCAGTGCAGGGCTGGGAGCGTTCTGGGACGTGCTGAGCACCACCATGGCCATCTCCATGCCAAGGCAAGCATGGAGAAGGGACATCAGCGCACGTGGGGGGCTCCGGCACCCCACAGGCATAGTCTGCTTTACCAAGAAAGCCAGTGAAATAAAATAACAGTGAATATTTTATTGAACATTGTTTTAATACCATATCAAAACACCTTGACTAATGAAGGAAGCTCCCCCCAAGCTCTGAACTCTTAGTTTTTTTCCCCCGTTTTTTTTTTAATATATAAATACAGAAAGGTTTCCCGCAGGGGCACGGCCACCAGCAGGGGAGGTCTCACCAACGAAAACGTGCCCGCCGTGCCGGGAGGGGACGGGGATGGGCTGGGAGGGGGTCACTGCCGTGAAATGACTCCATCTTGGCACCTCTGGCAAAGCCACCCCCGTGGCCAGAGGGCCATCGGGGGCCTTCCCCATACCCTCCCCAAAAGGGTTTGACTCAAAGGCGATGGAAAGAAAGAAGGGGGGTGGTTTTGGCAAGAGGAGTCCGGCAGGGGGGGGCGGCGGGAGGGGGCGGCGGGGATGCTGCGGCTCTCCAGTCTCTGAGTGGTTATAGCTGAGTTAAAGAGTGACCAGTCTGTAAACATCACCGGGGCAGGGAAGCTCAAATCGAAGAACACGCCAGTCAACACAAAGCTTCAGTTGTGGTTTGTTTTTTTTTTTTTTCCGGTTTTCTCTTTTTTTTTTCTTCTTTTTTTTTTCCTTTTTTTTTTCTCTCGTTGTAAACACTTGAAAGACGGACCCCCGCGGCTCAGCAGGGGGGAGCAGTGGCCCCGCTCTCGGCGTGGGGCAGAGTCCCCGTCTCGCGCTCCCAGGGATGGGGTGGAGATCTCCAAAAGGGAGACGGGAGAGAAGAGAAAATTCCCATTTAGTCAGTGCAAAAAAACCGAGCAGAGCCCCCGGGCGAGTCCAGGTGGGAGGTGGGGGGGTTGCCGGTGAGAAATGCTGCGTGCTCCGTTTGGCCGGCTGTCCCCCGGCAGCTTTCCCCTTCGTTTTGGGGAGAAAAGCCAAACATCATGGCAGGGTTCTGGCCAAGGGTGTCTCTGGGGCCTCCCTGGCAGGCTGAGCTCTCCTGGTGACCAGCGGCTGTGGAGGGGAGAGCAGGTCGCTCTGCTTTTCTCACACTGTCTTCTCCTGGATGTTTCTTTTTTTAATATTCATTTAAATTAAAAAAAAACAAACAACAAAAAAAACCCCCAAACAACAAAACAAATAAAAATAATAAAATAAAATAAAAAAATTCGCTGTTGTCCCAAGTGGATTCAAGTTTCTGTGTTTTATTTTTGTCTTCTCGAGGAATTTAAAGTCAGCCCAAAACTCCAGGCGGGGCAGGGGGGGACAGGGAGAGGAGGTACAGCAGGTATAGCAAGGTGCCCTGCAAAGGCAAAGAGAGATGATCCCAGGTGAGGAGCAGGAGCCATGGCCACCCCAATCCCACCCCATCCTACCCTCCTGGCCCAGGATTTAAAAACCCAGCACGGGAAAATTACCTCAGAACAGCCCGCCACAGGCTCACCTTAGAGAGAAGTCAGCAAGCACGCCCGGCAGGTCAATCAGAAGGATGCTCTGGGCAAGATCTGTTCACTTCAAACCATGAATCTATACAGCTGCAAAGAGGAGAGTGTGTCACCACCGTGCTGCTGAGCCTCAGGTTGTCCCTGCCTGCCCCCCTGCCACCTGCCTGGCTGTGTCCCCTCGCTCCCGATGCCCGTGCAGTACCTTTTGTGATAAATGCAGAGGCAGGGCAGCCTGGCTATCGTGTCCCCCTGCAGCAGCTCCTCCAGGCAGATCACGCACTCGCCGGCATCCTTGGTCAGCACATCATCTGGGAGGGGAGACAAGGGCAGCGGTGAGACACAGTCCACTGTGGCATTCCCCTTCCCGGGATGGAGGGGAGCCCATGGCCACCTCCACGGAGGCAGCCGGGATGGGGCAGCCAAGTGGCAGCAGCGCCAGCAAGCACTGTCAGGAGGCTCAGGTGGAGGCACGGTGGGGAGGTGGGGCTGGGGCAGCTGCAGCCAACATACCTCCTACCCCGGCTTCCAAAAAAGCACCACTGAGTAGGGGGTGAGCACCACTCCCCGGTGAGTGGTCAGGAGGGAGGATGGGAGATGCAGGCATTTGCAGACCAGTGCTCAGCCCAGTAAGCCTCACTGCCAGCGCAGAAGGGAGGAAGGCAGCAACCCTTCAGAGAGGCAGCCCAGGAGGACACGTCCCCTGCCCTAACTGGGCACGACACCCAGCCAGGACAGCTCCCTCCGGCACAGCACACCGGGGTGAGCAACACGGGTACGGGGCTGTGTTACAAAGGGTCCCAAAGGCAAAACTGGTGGGGTCGAGCCATGCCGAGGGAGAGGAGTGGAGCAAGGACCGTGAGCTGCACCGGTCCACTGGAGCACTGCCCTCTTGGCAAGCCCAGCCGAGCCGTCTGCCTGCACAGCCTGCGGCAAGCGTCTCTCCAGCCTGCCCAGAGCCATCCCAAGCCTGCAGGACGCCGTGTCCCCACACAGCCTGGCCACCGGCCCTTACCGTTGTAGGAGAGGCGAGGTTTGCTCAGACACATGATAAAGTGCATTTCCATCTCGTCAGAAGCCACGGATTTGGAGCAAATGGGGCACTTGAAACCTGGAGGGAGAGCAGAGAGACAAGCCCTTAGCAAGGGGAGGAGAAGAGCCCATCCTGCATCCCAGGGAGTCCCCAAGGCCATGGTGGGGCACGGCAGCGGGCAGCCCCTCACCTGCTGCCTGCATGGTGGCACACACCCCACACAGCGCCCGCCGGGCACCTGCTCATCCTGTGCCGGCCGCCAGCAGCGCCGGCGTGGGGGACAGCCACCCGAGCTGGCGCGCCGGTGGTCCCAGTGCCCGCCGTCGCACAGAGGGCACGGAGAGTGTGCCAAGGCAGCACACACGTGGCCATCAGCTGCTGCTGGGCCTTAAAGGGCGAGGAGCAGCCCGGGGCATGCAGCACCCCGGGGCTGGTGAGCACAGGGGCATGTCCCTGTGCCACGATGGTGCTGTCCCCACTGCTGTACTTCAGCCCCGCATGGCTGAGCCAGAAAAGCTGCAAGGAAGGAGGTTTTTCTGTAGGGCCGCAGCAGAGGACTGCCAGGCCGGAGCCACGAGCCCAAATTGCTGCTTTCTCCAGCTTTTTGCAGGAATGAGGTGGGTGCTTGCCCCTCTGATGCCAGCCAGCAGCCCCCTGGAGCAGGGGGACCCCACAGACTGACGTCCCAGCTTGACCTTGCCTTGTCACCTGGACCTGCCTGGTGACCCGGACTCTTGGGTGAAGCTGGCCGTGATGTCCAGACCCACTCTGCATCCTTGCTTGGGCATGAGGATGGGGCCCAGGTATCACACCGGTGCCACCACCTGCTCGAGCCATGCAGACCGCCACGACATAGTCCCCAGCACCACCGAGCAAGGCTGCCCCAAACCCAGGTTTCCAAGCCCCAAACTCCCAGGGATCAAATCCCAAACCAGCCCTGCAGGTCACCCACCCAGGACTCCCTGCCCTCCCACTGAAGCCAGCTCGAAGCCATGCGGTTTGTCACTGCCCAGTGCAGTGGGGCTCAAGCTGATGCAGCCGAACATGCGCATGCCACCACCACCACCATGGGTTTGCACCAGAATATCTAGCAGTTCCCTGCCTGCAGAGAGGGAGAGGGTAATTTAAGGACCTGTCTTCTAAAAGCAGATCAGGTTTGACTGCAGTGCCGCTTAAGAGCTTTCTTCATATATATACGCAAAGGCTGCTCAGGAAAGAGAAAAGGAACATACACGAATTATCTAAGAATGAATCAGGTTCTTGTTTGCCACCAGATGGATGTGGCAAGGGAAATTTTTTGCTTCTTGGAAGGCAGAAAGTGCCGGTGGCTTTAACGGGAGGCAGCTCAGACCTATGCCGTGCAAACAGCCAGGATAACTGCTCAACACCTGAGCACCCTCTCATTAGCAGTGGTGATAAATGCAGATTACATCCCAGCTCCCCATATGAAAGCCTAGGATAGGGATGCCGATTCCTGCCCCGCTGTGGTTATTTCCCAGGAGGGCACAGCAAGGATGACTGTCGTGGATGGCTGGGGACTGACTCTAAAGTGACCTGCTAAAACAAGGAGCCCTTGAGCCCACGGGCCCCTCCAGCAGGGTGTCAGGCTGGCCCACAGTGTGCCACTGCAGAGACACATCCCTGTCCCAGCCAGGCCGAGCCGCAGAATCTCTGCTGCGAGTCCAGCCCCATTACACCAAGCCCCGGCCGAAAGGACAGCACTGGCAGCCAAAGACTCATGGGCAGCAGCACCAATCTGCCTTCTCCGCTCCAGCCTAATTTTACTCCTGACCGATTTATACCTTGTGGCAGCAGTGCCCATTAGCTAAAATAGTTGGGTTTTTTTTCTCCTACCAAGTGTTTACCCACCTGGTGTATTTATAGAGCAGGCTCAGATAGCGTCCCAGCCTGCCTTCTGCAAGACCCAACTAGCCTCCCCCTGTGAGACACCTTTCCCATCCGCCAGCTGCCCTGGCAGCCCGCCTGCCCCTGTCCCCGGCTGAACTGATCCTGCTTGAACACTGACGGTCTGCCAGCACCGCGGGTGCTGGTCCCTACCGAGGAAGGTCCGGGGACCAGTTTCCAGCAGCAAGCCCCTGGCACAGGGCAGCTGTAAAAGACTCCCTTTGGAAAAAGGGTTTTGGCTGCAAACTTGGTGTCAGGGCAAGGCATTTGCAGAGGTTAGGTACTGTCCCCCATGCATCGTATGGGAAGACCTCGTTTTCTCTGGTTCCCCCTTTTTCTGTGCCAATATGTTATTTTAAACAGCTGCCCCAGATCTGCCGGCTCTGGCAGCACCCGAAGGGATCCTACAAGACGTGCAACCAGGGTAAAGGGAGAGGGCCCTGGATGAGACTGCCTGTCCCACAGCTGCCAGGGCACGACTGCTGGCTGCTGGCAAAGCAGCAGAAGCCAGGGAAAGAGCAGGGCCCTTTGCAAGCTCTGGTGAGTGGCTGTTGCCATATCTCCAGACCTCTTTGCTAGTTAGGGTAGCTTTAGCACAGTTATAAATAGCCAGCACGAACACCCGTCACGCTCCTTGGTGCTCCCCAGGCAGCTGGCTGGGGGACAGGGACCCCCAGCGCCATCGCGTCCCCATGCCAAGGACATGAGGACATTGCAGAGACGGAGGGGCCCGGGCTCAAACCCCAGCATGTGCATGGTGTGCTCCAGCCACAGACGCTGGCTGCCACACGGGTCTGGAGGCTGAGCCAAGCACAGAAGCACACACACTTTCCTGGCTCTGCATTTCACAAGATGGAGGGGGGTGGGGGGGTGGGAAAAATCATGAAAATGCAATTGCATAAATTCCTGGGTCTGAGCAGGAGCGAGGAGCTGGCATGGAAAGGCCCCCGGGGTGGGGGGCCGCCCTCCATCCCAGCTGTCGGCACAAATAGTTGGCATTGCAAGAGCAACTGCTTGCATCCCCCTCCGCTGCAGGCACTGGAGCTGTGGGGAGCCCACTGCCAGCAGGAAAGGGAAGGCAGAGAAGGGGGTCAGGCTCCCTCACCCCTTCTCTGGATGACCCTTGGGAGAAGGCGGTGGGTGGAAAGCCACTGAGGCCAGGGGACAGCCGACACTTGACAGCGGCAGGCGCCGAGCCCAGCGTCTCAGAGCATCCCTCTGCGGTTCAGGAAGGTGCTGGGGCCCGGAGCTGGTCCTGCAGATGAAAGGGCCGCTCCCCACGCGGCCGGCCCCCTCCGGGCCATGGTATTTTCCTCGTTCCCCGAAATCCCCGTTAATTTATCCTGCCTAAGCTGCCAGCCCAAGCAATGCAAGAGATTACATTTTGACAGCTGCTCATGGAAAATTCAGCTCCCCCCCTCCTCCTTGAGCCCTTTCCGCCCTCCTCCCACATGCCTAAAAAAAAAAAAAAAAAAAAACCCATGAGAGAGGAAGGGCCCAGCTATTCCTCCTCGCCTGGGCCTCCCACACCCACGGGGAGGCTAGGGAGATCTCTGAAGAAAGGCCATGGACCATTTCTCCCTCCCAAGGCACCCAGAGCAGCTGGCAATGGATGCTCCTGCCTGCAGCACATTAAACCTGAAGCTGGCACTCTCACTGCAGGCAGAGATGTGCAGGCAGGCACCACCTCTCACAGGAGCAAGTGAGGAAGAGGACGGTGATGCGGGATAGCGGGCTGGCCTGGAAAGTCAGGTTCAGATCCAGACCTGGACTCTTGTATCCTGCAGGAGACTTGAGAAAGCCAAGGGCTTTCCAGGGCTGCGAGACACATGTTGGCAGGTGATCTCATCTCTCCGATGGCTTGGTCTAGAAACTGGGAGCAAGCAGTGCTGGTGCTCTCCGGGGGCTACTGCCCTCTGAGTATTTTTAGGAAGGTTACATGGTTAATTTTAGAGAGCCAGGCGAAGCAGAGCTGGGAATCTCTGAAAACCTCCAGCAGGTCCAATGCAAGCTGAAAGAGCCCCATGGTTAACCCTCACAGTGCTGAAACCACGACCACACAGGCTGCCGGGGCAGCTTTGGTAGTGGCAGGAGGGTCAAGACACTTTTCCAACTCATCTGTAATCACGGCCTCAAACACAGCCGTGGCCATACCCATTAGGAATTGCTTCTGAAGCTGGGATAGGAAATTCCCATCACTTGTGTCTACAAGTGAAGTCCGCAGAAACCTCTGTGGTTTGGGGAAGCCACTGAGCACTACAGCGAGGTCAGCCACACCATGTCCTGGGAGTGGAAACGACTGCTTGCCTCGGGGACAGGCAAGACAGCGTCCACAGGAGCTGCAACCCTGTCCTTGATGGTAGGGAAAGGCACGTGCCACCTCTTCATTCACTCACCAAACCCTCTGCTAACTCGGTGTGCCTCCAGATGGATCACTTACAGGCTATGGTGCCACCAGGAGACTTGGCATCGCTCCAGTGGTAGAAGACCCTGGCTCTGTTGCTAGCAGATGGCCGAAATGCAGGGAGCAGCAGCTTCACTGCTGTGTGGCACCTCCAGTGGTGGGAGGAAGAGGCCAGTGGGGGATGACATGCCCTGAAGGCAGGGGGAAGAAGCAGCAGCCCAGGCACAAGCAAGCAGGTGCAACCCCAGCAACCCACCCCATACAGAGTAGCATTCACCAAAGGGATCCCTGACTGCCCAGGGCCCTGCTACTGCAGCAGGATAAGCCAGGAGCCCTGTGTGTGGGAGCGACTACACAAACTTGCCAAAGTGTGCCTGCGAGGGACACTGTGAGCACCAGGTAGCTCAGGGGTAAGCCCCAGGCTGCCTGATGTCCATGGGAGATCCCAAAACCTCAGCTGCACAGCCCATCTCCATGTCTCCAGAGAGCATCCTGGGCACCCAGCCAAGGGAGCTGGCTTACACCAGGTGAGGATGCATCCAAGCACAAGACATATGCAGGGAATATTTGGTCCAAGCATGCAGCTGAAGCAGAGCCCTGGTGCCTTCTCCTTGCCGAGCAAACCCTGAGCATCACAGCTCCTCCCATGGCTCCCCGACATCGCCAACTGAACCGGCACCAGGTGGAAGCTGGAAGAGATGGATCATCTTTAAAAAAACCATGCTAGTGATCAGAGAGGAGGGAAAAACTGAAAGACCATGTCTATGGG